GAGTGCGCTGGTGCTTGTAATGCTCGTGGCATGTCGCCTCCTTTCTCAGCCTGTATTCCGTATACTCCAGATAGGAAAAACCTGCCTGAGGATTACGTAAACACCTGAAACACATCATAGATTCCCCTCCTTCCTTCTGTCCCGATCTGAGTCGCTTTTAAAGTCGCCTCATTAAAGTGTGAATCTCCTGAACATATGTTTTTAAACAAGTGTTAGGTACTCCTCCCCTTTTCCTTTTGGTAGAGCCTGCTTAGTGCAATTTGGCAAGGAAGAAACGTAGATCCTGCTTCACAATGCGTTGCCTAGACAAAGTTACAACTTCTCTTGTGATATTCCCAAGAACAAAAAAATCCTGCTGGAGTATTTTAGATACAAAAAGCTCAAAATCGAAGAGACGTTGGGAAAGGAGCGCTTCCCTTCCCTGGAACGTCAGAATCGCATAATCCAAAGAGAGTATCACACAGAGAAAACCATCTCAGAATATTTGTTAGGTCTGATGGGGAAAAGAAACGTCAAGGTATTTTATTTTTGACTTTGAACTCCCCACGCCCTTTGCAAGGATCATTACGCTGCCGCGGCGTAAGCCGAAGGTTCACGAGACAAAGGTGAATGTCCAGGAGGCCGGTTTAGCAGAGCAGCCCGTGTCCTTACGGGAAGGGGGTCCGGTAACGAAGCGTCTCGGGATCTGCCCTGGTACAGGTTTTGAAACGTTTTTCAAACCGTCAGGAGGGAAGAGCAGAGGAAAGGATGGGTTCTCCAGTCGAGTTGCATCTAGGCGCATTCCTTCCTCATGTCGCCTCCTTTCTCAGCCTGTATTCCGTATACTCCAGATAGGAAAAACCTGCCTGAGGATTATGTAAACACCTGAAACACATCATAGATTCCCCTCCTTCCTTCTGTCCCGATCTGAGTCGCTTTTAAAGTCGCCTCATTAAAGTGTGAATCTCCTGAACATATGTTTTTAAACAAGTGTTAGGTACTCCTCCCCTTTTCCTTTTGGTAGAGCCTGCTTAGTGCAATTTGGCAAGGAAGAAACGTAGATCCTGCTTCACAATGCGTTGCCTAGACAAAGTTACAACTTCTCTTGTGATATTCCCAAGAACAAAAAAATCCTGCTGGAGTATTTTAGATACAAAAAGCTCAAAATCGAAGAGACGTTGGGAAAGGAGCGCTTCCCTTCCCTGGAACGTCAGAATCGCATAATCCAAAGAGAGTATCACACAGAGAAAACCATCTCAGAATATTTGTTAGGTCTGATGGGGAAAAGAAACGTCAAGGTATTTTATTTTTGACTTTGAACTCCCCACGCCCTTTGCAAGGATCATTACGCTGCCGCGGCGTAAGCCGAAGGTTCACGAGACAAAGGTGAATGTCCAGGAGGCCGGTTTAGCAGAGCAGCCCGTGTCCTTACGGGAAGGGGGTCCGGTAACGAAGCGTCTCGGGATCTGCCCTGGTACAGGTTTTGAAACGTTTTTCAAACCGTCAGGAGGGAAGAGCAGAGGAAAGGATGGGTTCTCCAGTCGAGTTGCATCTAGGCGCATTCCTTCCTAAACCAGCGCGGCGAGTATCTGGCACGGAACTGCCGGCGTTGCTGTTCCGTGTGAAGCAGAGGCAGCTGGAGCAGGAAAAGGATGATGCAGGGCTCCCGCCTGGCTCTTCCGCGGAGGGGGCGATGGGAGGGCTGACGCTAGGGGACGTGGTGTAGTTCCGCACACTAACATTGTGTGGGTTTGTGGGTGCAAAGAGACAGTCAAAAATAAGCCTAAGATTCTGCAGTTCCTAACGACAGGTGCCAAGAGGTTATGATACGGGTTCTGGGGGTCTGCGATGTACAGTGTGAATAAACGCTTGCAGCTCTTAGTCTTTTTTTGATCGACGAAGCACTTTTTTTATTAATATTATTTTCCTTTGTATGTAAAGGAGGAACCAGTATCTCTCCATAGCTGTATATATAACCCTTCTCTCCTAAAGAGAGTAAAGTGCTCCTATATTTTTCATTTTTGTCAAAGCGAGAAGTAAATACTTTAGAATTGTTAAATATATAAATAAAAGTGAATAAAGTTTAGACTTTTGCATGGGAGCATTTGCTAACACACTTTCTAATTTTTTTATTTTTCTTCCCTGTCCTTCGTAGGGGATATATTTGAGGTACAAGGCCTTTGAGCAAGGAGGCTGCAGCAGGCCTCCTCTTGCTTTCTTTTCCACTGTGTGTCTTTGCAAGGAACAACAAACTGTTGCTCCTAAACTTGGAAGTAAAATATTAAGCTTGGTTTTCCTGGTGCAGAGAGTCCCGGGGAGGGGGAAAAGACACAAACCACGTGCACCACCGGGTACCGTCAGTACCGCCGGCACGGGGTTCTGAGGCTGGAGAGCTCTGGAAGAGTCTCGTCTTCCTCGGTACCTCGTTTTTCTTTTTCCCCTTCACCGACCATCGTATTTCCAAGCGTTGATCCGATGACGTTAGCCCAAATGGAGGAGCAGCCCAGGCCGCCAGGGAATTCACCCTGCTTTCAGTGACGTTTGGAAAGGGAAGCTCGACATCTCCCTTCCCCTGCAGCGAGCAAGCGCCGGCACGCGCCGCAGCGGCAGCGTGGTGGGGAGGTCAGAGCTCGGTTCTCATTTGCACACTTTCTGCCTTATTCTCGATGCTGGATGGTGGAGCCGTGGCTCTTTGGGAACAAACCAAACTCACTCAGGTTTAATATCTTTTAATCTTTTCCCAGAAGGTGGAAAACTCAACTGCTGTTTGTCCTGCAAAAGTCTCCTGCACAAGAGTCCGATTGTTCTCATTCTCCTAGGACTGCTTGCTCGTTTCAGCCGCTTGGCTGCGTGCACTCCCGTCACGTAAGCTCATGCTCCGTCAGTTATTTCTTTTCTTACGTATCTGAAGTCGAGAGGGAGGATTTGCCCTGAATTCTCAGGGGGACTGAAGAGCTCCTTGAGCAACTGTGAGTTATTTTGGGACAGGCCCGTTCTAATCACAAGACGTGCACAATTGCTTTCTAATCTCATGGTATTTATTTAATCAAATAAAACTGCAGATTCTGGGCGGAGCCGTGATCGCAGCTGGTGGTAGTACTTACAGCTTCAAGAATAAAAAAGAAAAGCATATATAATGTTTTGCACTATTAAGAACATGCAAAGGAACAGCAGGTCTTCAATTACACACCAGAATTTGATTTTATGTAGCTCCTTTCATACTTGAGTCACTTCTAAGTGCTTTTTCGGTAAGTCATTATGCTGTAGGGCGGCGGCTGTGCGCACCGGTGCTCCCAGCCCCGGACACCGCGCTGCTTGGACGTTCTCTGCTTTGGAAACGCGGCGCGAAACCCCGCGGGTCTCCTCTGCCGCTGCCGGAGGGAGTTGGAGAACTTCTTAACTTCCACGTAGTGTGAAGCCGTTATTGTGCAGAAGGGCTTCACGTCAGGGGTTATCAACAGCCTGGCAGCTCTGCCAGAGGAGCACACAGCCGACGTCGTGCAGAAGCTCATCTCCCGGTGATCAATTCTTCCTAACGAACGTCCTCGCCTCTTTTCTTTCGTGACAGCTCTCGAGCAGCGCGAGAGCCTGGAAGGAGAGCGGTGTTACTATCGCAATACGCAGCTTTAGTGCTGTCTTAAGAGCTGTAAAACAATCCCCTTAGGCAAAGGCGATTTGTACGGCTTACCGGGAGTCTCGCAAATGGTATTAGTGGCTGAGGAACAAGACAATCTTTGAGAACTGGAGGCCCCTCTCGTCCCCAGGTAGGACAGCAGCAGGCCCAGCCTCTCCTTGCCGGCGGAGGTGGCACGAGTGCTGCAGTCTGGTGGCACAGGGCTCGTTCAGCAGCAGTGGTCTTACAGGCTGGGCAGCAGTTAGTTGTTCACAGCTTAGTTGTACGGGTGAGGTGTGGCGGCAGCATGTAGGATGGAAAACCGAAGGCTCTTTGGTGGCGAAGGGGAAGAAGATGTCGGGAGCCACTCCGCTAGCCAGGAAAGGCTGTCGGTGTGGGACAGGGCCCATGCTGGGAGAGGTTTTGAGCTGTTAGGAGGCTGCAAAGGGCAACAGCCGCGCGCAGGAAAGCTGAGCAGATTCGGAGCTCGTTTCACAGACGGGGCTGTGCAGGTATTTTATGGTTAGTCTATCATTGTCCCTCTACTAGATCCTGAATTAACTCGGCGCGAGGTTTTGAGAAAATGGCGTCCAGAGGCAGTTAGAAGACGGCGTTTTGCTGGGCTGTGCGGGAAGGAGGTGCTCGGACGGTGCCGAGGGAAGGCCAGCTCTCTGACGTTCGCTCAGGTGCAGGATCGGGATCAGGTTTTACGTAGTCCTTGGAGCTGCCCTTAGCTGGATTCCATCGCTGGCATCGCTCGGAACTGGCTCGTGAGTTCCGTGGAAGCACCCTTCTCGGTTACAAAGCAAAAGCAGCAGTTTAGGCTCTTTTTTGCGTCGGGAGGAAGGTGAGCGATGCAGCCTCGGCCCGCGCTGCCAGGCACGGCGTTTGCTCCCGGTGGTTTTTTCCCTAAAGGGGAGCCCAGCGATTCTCCTGGGGGCGGCTCAGTGCCTTCCCAGACGGGCGTGCTGCCGGAAGAGCAGGGCAGGGCTGAGGCGGCGGCCCAGACCGAGCCCAGGCAGCGCCAAGTTTCCTTCTGAACAGTTCAGCTCCGTTTCTTCGTTAAAGAGGGAATCCACCAGCACTAGAGCAAGGATGCGGAAAGAGGAGCGTAACCTTTTCCTACAGCCACGCCCGTACAGGCGTTTGTCTGTCTTACTGTCCCTACGCCATACAGACGTGCCATTTCCTGGGCAGAGGAACAACAGATTCCCATCCCTTCATTTTACACACGTAGTACAGGCGTCGGAGCTCGGATTGTTGCATTTCGGGATTTAAGATTACCATATTCTTCGGACTTTCAAATTTTTTAAATGCTGCTAAAGTTTTATCTTACTATTTAACAAATATGTTTTTTAAACCGATTTCCCGTAGTTATGTTATTAAATGATTTTTACCTTGCAGTGGCAACAGGTGATGCATTTGATTGTACATTTTTTTTTTTGGTGGAATTTGTATTACAATGACATCTGAAGTCTTGATTAATTACTTCAAGAACATTAAATGTTTTAAAACATGCAAACCTATGAGAGCAGAGAGCTGTTTAGCAGCAGTATAAAGTGTTAGACCTTAGTGCTTATTTGTTTGTAACAGCATTTATTCTGCTGTAGCCTCAGAGTGAATATTTAGATCTTAATAAATTTGTCATTTTCCTACACCGTGACAATTCTACAGTCCCTTGTGTTTTCTGTATCGGTGCATCTGCAGGGCTCCCCGTTTGCGGGGCTTATTTTTAGGCAAGTTACAGCTCGTGTATTAGGAACAAGTAATCCTGGTGCTCAAAAAGCCACGTAAAAGACGTAGGACGAGGCGAGGTGAAATCCCAGGCCGGCAGTGAACGTGGAAGGCACCGCTGCTTGCCAAAGCCCCGTGCTTTGGAGACGAGCACGCGGTGAGAACGGAGGATCCCGATGGTTTACCGGCAGCTCTGCAAACAGTTCCCACGCGATGCCTTTCGCTTTGTGTTGCGTTCGCCGCGTGCCGCCAGAGCCTTCTGCCCTGCCCACGTGCAAATCTGGTGATGGACTTTGCTGCCGTCATCGCTCGGGCTAGAGCCACGTGGCGTCCTCTCTCTTTCCCGTTCTCCTCATTCTCCCGCAGCACGACAGGTTTCTGTGCTTTGACACCTGCGAGACCTTTGACGCCGAACAACTACAGGGACGTAGGAGATTTTTCAGACCCAAATATTCTTTATTCACGTCAATGCACATGTAAGGGACACGGAGAAATGCTGCAGTGGAAGCCCCCCCCGGTTGGGGCTGGCTAAACGGCGTTTGTGTCATTTGAGAGGAGCTCCGCTTGGCTCAGCCCTG